TATATATATATATATATATATATATATATATATATCCATGTTATTTTATTCAATCAGGTATGTATTTTATTCATTACTAGCTCACTTTGTTATTTATTATTCATAGTCCATTTTTAGATGTCTAGAGCATTAATGGTAACAGCAGTGTAGGTTAACAACTAGACACAAGTGTTGAACGTTGCTTGTGGTTCAGAAAGAATAGCTGAAATGGAGAATTTCAAAATTGAGAGAGGGACTATTGATTAACCCCTTTGCTAGAAAATTTTCAGCTGGTTTTGTAACACTTGTATTTTTTTAATGATTATTTCAAGTTAAAACCTCAAACAAATAATCATTGGCCCAGTATTATTTCTCAGTATTTTCAGCCATGTCCTTTATGAATTAGGATGTGGCTTTGCCTTGCAGTAGGGCTCCAGATTTTAGAGCTGGTTAGCTGTGTTTGACTTAGTGCAATGTCACAAAATATTCCCCTCAGTTTAAGCTTTGGTGCATTATAAGAGAGATAGTCAATCCCTTGGCACAGGTGGTAGGGTGGTGTTGACTGGCTGCCTTTTCTCAGTCCAGTAGATTTAGAATTAGGGATGGTAGCAGATAGCTTTAATTCCTTTATGATGTATATACAAAATGCAAATACTCTCTTGAATTAGGCTTAAGTTTAAAACTTCATTAATCTGTCTTAGGTATTATGTAAGTTATAAATCATTATCTGTATTATCCAGCTTTGCTGTGCAAAGCGAGGCAGGACTGAGTATAAAAATTGGGATACAGGCTTTCTTCACATATGCGCTATACATATTAAGCCATACTGGTGCAGTAAGTATCCAATATCAAGGAAAATGTTTTGTCTTTTTGTGGACGCATCTCCTACTAAGTGAGTTGACCAATCCAGACCAAACTTGGCATGCTAACTTAGCAGTCCAAAGGCAAATCAAATTCATATTAAACTTACCCATCTATTGAAAAATAAAAATATTTTATAGGATAATCTCTAATGTTACTGCAGTAGCTACTGTAAATAGTTGAGTTTGAACAAAACTCGCACAACAACAAAATTATACAAGTCAAAGATCATAAATACAATTTTCAGCATTTTGGCTAGTTTCCCATAATAACCAAAATATACACCAATACATTATCCAGTGACAATGCAGCAAATAAGAATACTGCTGCTGTTTCAGTTCCCACTTTTTTCTGATTCACACCATTCAACTTCTGGTTTATACTAAGGTTAGGATAAGTGCTTAAGCCTAAATTAAAGTATTTCGTAATTAAAATATTTTTCAGGATATTTCTTACCTCTTGTTGTAGAACATAGTTTTCCATAGAAGCAAAATTCAAGATTGTTACTTATGCAGCAAATATAACTAATTCAGACAGTAAAAATCTTGACTACTACTGTGAAATGGGCTGCTTTGAACAAGTGATGCAATTGCTTTGCCATTTCTGCCAAGTTTCTTGACTCAACTGCTACACTTCTTCACTTCTGATCTACTTACCCTGTCTAAAAACAATTTTTTGTAGAATGAACACTACTGAAACTTCTTGCAGAGGTTTTGCTCATTTCTAGCAAATTTATGCATGTTTTCGGTATTTTTAAGAGAAAAAAGATGGAGGATTGCAGTCTCCATAAAATAACCTGCAAAACTTTTAAGGTAAGACATTTAAAGTGAATTACAAGAGCTTAAAAAAAAGCCTATTATGGACTGAGTTTGATTTCACCTGTAGACTTTCACTGGATCTGTGCTAGGTATACAATTTGCCACTTAAAAAAATTAGTCAAATTACACAGCTACTTAATTGAGAATTTCTTGGTGCAGTCCTTGTTTAAGCTAATTTAATATTCAATTCTACGTAGATTTTTCACATCAGTATTTGCTTTATTCAAAAGTAGTTCATAACCCTTTTTCATTTAAATTTATTTCTCTTACATTTCAGAAAAAATACTGTTTAAAAGTGTGTTGTTATAATCCATGGTATATGAACCACCTGAAAACTGAGGGTTTTAAAATGTAAAGAATAGTAGAATCAGTTGAGAACAATGAATTCAATTGTTATAATTTATTGTAAATACTATAATTCAATTATTCAATGAGATATAATCATAATCCCAGTTTCGAAAGAAAAAATTGTAGTAACAGCATACAACAGATGAATTTTGGATGTCTGTCATTACACTATGTACACTGCTCTATTTATCTTATTTGCCATCACCTTTGGAACAGGCCTCAGTTTTAATATTTTCTGTATAAGTAGTGAATTCTCCATATGAAACTGCCACCTTATGTAAAAAGTACCTCAACACAACAATTTTATTTTTGAAGTTGCCTTATTTTTGTAAGAAACATTATTATAATATGCCTTACATACATGTATTAATGATATACTATTTTACTTTTTGATCACTTTATTAGAATTATCAGTACAATCCCTGGCTTGTGCATCTAGCAGCTAAATTGCTTGTCAATGATGAAGAAATAATGTCACTTTTGGCTTATAATCCATTTCAAAGGAAAATGCCACCAAGGTATAGTACAGTTTTTTCATCAGTTATTATACTTTTAAATCTATAACTAGAAGAAAAAGATTTCCTTTAAAGTCGTCTCAGAGTAGAAACAGACTGTTGGTGTGTTTTTGAAAATCTGTTATTGGTATCTTAGTGTTGAAATTCCTTTTATCTAAGAAATTTCACAAACAAATCAGTACAGCAGGCAATAAAGTTATATGTTGCCTTTTAGACCTAATGTTTTTTAGTGTCTTTAAGCATGCACCATTGATCCATTTGGTTTCACTTGAGTAGCAAAGCTTTAAGACATTGTTTATTTTATTTAACTTCAGTTTCCTTCTACTAGTTTTACTTTGAGAATGCATTGAAGCTAATTTTCCTGAGAAATTTCTCTGTTATAGTGATGATATCTCAAGAAGAACTCCTTTGCAACAAAGTTATGCAGTAAAATTAGCCTGTGCATAAGAATTAAAATTTTGGACTACCTCAAAGAGATTAGGAAGCAAATAGTTAAATACAAGACTCGACAGCCACTGAAACATTGAAGAGAAACCTGGGTTTAGTACACATTCAATTAAGTCCATTGCAAGTTCCTGGTTCAGATTCAGGGCTACAAAGGAATGGAGACTAGATAAAAAGACCACAGAACAGTAATTTAAAATTGCTTAAAAATGCAAGCCAGTATTTCTGTTATTTTAAACAACACTGTTAAACCTTAGATAACGAAAAGCGCAATTTTTATGTGATTGTATAAAATATACATTCTGACTCTTAAGAACTTTTTTTTTATGTGCAAAAACTAATGATCAAATTTAATACAATTTGTATTCAGTAGATGGAGTCACCATTTCATGTATGAATGGCAAAATTTAGCTCTAGATATTGTGGCATGTAGTTAACTTGGATGTTAATTAGGGGAGCAGTTTTAGTGTTTTTGTTAAGTATTTTTTAAAACTTGTAATTGGAAGAAATCGAGTCACAATTACCATGTTTTCCAAAGAAGTGAAAATTGAAATTGGTAGTATTCAAACTTGCATCTCTGCTTAACAACAATGCTTTAGCTAGCAAAGTTGTTATGTTTCAAATGACACTAGTCTCAACCTTCAACTCTTAGCTTATTAGGGACAATTAGTTTAGAAGGCCAGGAATTCATTTATTGCCATTTTTTTATGGAAGAGTCAATTTTAAGTGATTTAATTATAAAAATTTTAAAGATAATATAATGTTCTGTGAAGTTAGACTTTTTGAAGAAAATTGAGATTGGGTGGGAGGTATGTAGATTTCTGATTATTCAAATGTGATAGTAAGTAACTGCTGGTGAGATATACAGTCTAGACTGTTAAAATATGTTTTATGAGTCAACTGTAAAAATGGGATACTGAGAAGATATAGCCAAGCTAGCTTGTTGAAATAAAACTTTTGAAATTATTGATTTTATACACATAGCACAATAAATAAGCTGATGTACCCATTCAACTCCCAGGGAAGATATTGGTGGAGGAGGAGGGGGGGGGGGAGGGTCAGACCCCCTATATATTACTGCTTGACAGGACCTTAATGGTACACGCTAGATTTGGTGCCAATTGGTCTAACAGTTTGTCAGTTATAAATGGACACACACACACACACATTTTTGTCAAATAATGCTTTAAGATAGGATATGATGTACAATAGGTCCAGACTCTTAAAATAGAAATAATCTTATTTCTGATAAACCACAGACAGTTGAAACTATTAAACTTTTATTAGTAAGTTGATATAGGGGATGATGTACAAAGAGCCCATATATATAACAAGCTTGTGATGAAACACAGACAGTATGAACTTAACCCTAGAACACCAGCATGGGATCACTATAACCCCATACCACTTGGTGTTAATGATTGAAAATTTAATGCTGGTATTCTAGGGTTAAAATTGTGATAGTTTTTTGAAGAGTACAAAGTAATATGAATGCATTATATACAAGTTAAATTTTGTTATAAATTATTATTAGTTTTTGTCTACAATTTTTCCACATTTCAGATTTGTGAGAGCAGAACACTACAGATACAGCTACACTAAGTTAGGCAGTCGGGACAGTCAGCGTGGGCACTGGTGGAAAAGACGATACATTGGAAACTACCTACCTCCCGTTTCACTTAAGACTTTGAGTTCTGTTATGAAAAGATTTGGATGGAAAATATGAACCTGAATTTTTATCATAAATTACTGATGTTTCTGATTCACTGAAAGTGGATAAAACCTTGAAAACATTTGTTTACAGGCATGACAAAAAGTACCTGAAAATTCCAAGGAAATTAAAGACTAGTTACATTCTTTTTTTGTATTCTTTAAAGTGATAAAAATTGCTGAACCAAATTCCATAAAGAAATTATGAAGGCTGATTTTCAAATTCATTCTTTTTCATGAAGATGAATTATTATGTATCCATATATACTTTTAAATGGTGGGTTGTGAATTGAGATGGACAAACAAATTATACAGATAGCACAAACTACTAAACTTTTATGAATAAACTAATACTAGCTGATGCACCCATTCAACTCCCAGGGAAGATATGGGTGGAGGGGGTTTAGACCCCTATGTCACTGCTTGGCAGACCCTAAGGGTACATGCCAGATAAAGTTTTTAGACCTGAGTATTGAAATTTGTTCTGTATACAAGATATAGTACAAAAGAAACATTATTATTTGTCTGAAGTTTAAAATAATCAAAATTACTTCCAAACTGAAAAACTCAAAAACTATATATATAAAATCCCCCAGTGGGACAATGGTAAGTCTTTGAATTTACACTGCTACAATCAAGGGTTTGAATCCCCTCAAATAACCTGATCTCAATTTCCTACTAGAAAACACACACACAAGTATAAAATTTAAAAATATATAATTTTGCTTAATTGGTTGTAAGTAGTTAAAACCACTTTGCTATGTAGTTCAAATTTAACATTTAAATTTTTTGTACAAATTTCAAACTATTAAAAATAATAGCATAACTAGTGAATATTTGCATTTGTCTAGGTGGCATCATCGTTTAACAAAAAATACCATATCAGGTTGCATACAGGTTTTAAAAAAGCTGAAGGAAGTTTTTCTATAAAACAAAGATCATCTGACAAGAAACCTTATTTATAACGTAACACAGTAAATATAACTGTTGGCCTTTAGCTCTGTTTGGTTCAAAAGTGAGGAGAGGAAAAATCAGCCTCATCTGTGGACTGGATTTGAGGATTTTGCACTTATAAAGTTGTCAAGAAATCTCGAATTTTGTTAAGTACCCAACTGAAAAATCAGTAGTGTGTTTTATTACAAGTTACAACTTTTACAGTAAGTAAGATTTGTTTTTAGAACAGGTACGTCATTTCTATCACTGGTGCGATCAATCTCAAGTACACAATGTTCTATTGTTTGACGAGAAAGACAACAGATTAACTTTCCTTGATCTGTTTGCATCATAAAGAAACTGACAGGAACAAGTATCATAACTTACAATCTAGTCACCTAGTATCAGTGAAAACGGGATTCATCCAAATTGTTTTCTACTGGCCAAAGATAATGCACAATAACAACATTCAGAGAAAGTTTCGTTTTTAAATATTTAAATTAAAGAGAAATCTCGAACGTGTTATGTATAAATTTTTCGTGAAGGTAAGATTCTGAAACAAATTTAAAAACTGATCCTATGCAGAAATAACGAAAAAAAATCCGTCCACTGTTCAAAGCGCGTGTGGTCAACCATAATGTAAACACGAAGTGAACATCAAATAACTATGTGATGGAAACTCGACAAAATAGATTTAAAAAAAAAGTAAAACTGCAAATCAAGCATGGAATAAGATAAAGAAAAACTAATGGTATCAAATCGAACAGCTGCAGACATGCACAGAACTTAATCTAAATATTGGGGAAAATCTCGCTAAGAAATTCCCTCTCTGAATTAGGGCTACAGTTCAGGAGACCGTATTCAACCCGACATGACGATAGAAAATTCTATTTATTGCCACCTGATAATGCCTTTATTTATTTGTAATATTAGTGGGTTAGAGCATTTAACTTGTCTGCATCTATAATATATTACCTGAATGAAAAACCGATATAAGTATTCTCAATGCAATGAAAACCCAAGTTGTATTGAATGATTAGTCCGAAAGCGTATTTCGTTGCCTTGGTTTCATATACAGTGGTCCAAAATTATGTTTCCTATTCTATAATTAAATAACTAAAGAAATACAACTATGCAGTTTTCAACATCTTGTAGTTCAACTCAAACTGTTTTATATTGTTTTTTTTCTTCACTCCATTGGGTAGTGTTATCCCGTAAAATGGCAACCGTGCAAGAAAAGGCTCAATGCGTCGTTTGGCTTGCAAAGACCAAGTCAGTGACTGTGGTGCAGAGTAATTACAGACGTAAGTACAGCAAAGAAGTATAGGGATATGTTAATGATATCGTGTATCGCACACCATAGCAAACATCACGGAGCTAAAGACCAGGATAACGGACGACATCGTCAACATAATTGTGAACGTATTGTAGCGAATGTGGATTGAAATCGAATATCGATAAAACTTGCTGAGAGACATTAATGGTACATACGCAGAGATCTATTGAAGTGTCAATAAAATTGTTAGAGTTGGGTTACAAGATGTTGAAAACTGCATGGTTATATTTCCTTAGTTCATTGTTAAGTTCTCAAATAAAAAATATCATTTAGATAATTTTATGTTTAACATAAAATATTCTACAAAGATGTACTTTTTTCTCAAATACAAATATATAAAGTCAACATAAACATCTGCCATTGTTAATACGATTCTTTACGACGCTAAACTCTTAAATTGGCCACTGTTTTTATTTTATTTTAGTAGTTGAGCTTTATCAGCTTGTTAACTGTTAAAAAATGAGAATTATTTGAATGATTTCCAAGCACTGAACGCTAATAGATGTCCAAGATACGACATTGCATTGACAGTGTAGATTTAACAGAAAGTGGTATGTAATTACTCTTAACAATGGCCACCCATTTCTTACGAATAAATTAGCCGTGAATTCTGAAAAATGTATAAGAAACGTCCTACTGTCTTCTCAAGAACTAATTAACTTGTAAATAAGAGTGTGGGAAACTTACTTCAAGGCGTTTTTTTTCTCCTCAGAAATAATTTTTTAAGAAGTCGAAAAACGCAACACCTCTTTTGTACGAGTCATTTGATGAACGCTACTGTTGTGAACATTAATAAATGGTTTTACGTGTCAGTTAAATTATGTTTGTTTTATAACTAGTTCGTTGTATAGTAACGCCAACCTTAAACGGCGTATAATTTACATATGCAGACCGATTTATTTCAAAGGAACGATCTCAAGAGGAATTATAAATGTCTGTTAGCATTGTTTTATTTTACTGCGTATTTGTCTGTCATTTGAGAAAATGTCGAGATATGTTCATTAAGTTTCTGAGCTATTCATGAATAAACTAGCAATTATTTTAAGAAAGAACGATTTATTAGATTGGCAGTACTTATTACTGGTTAGATAGTAATCCTGTTGCTTACTTTGGTCAGAAGTTAACTCGCGTATTCTTTGTATTAGAAAAAAGTTGAAAATCCAATAATTCAGGGCCATGTGTTTAAATAGTAAGGAACTGCAAGGAGATTAAGCATGCGAACTCAATAGTCATACAAAACAAACACTTTATCACATTTCTCATCTCGCAAAAATTGTAGAAAAACTGAGATATATGGTATTTTTATGTAAAATAAAAGTTCTAAAACTTACTTTTTCCCCTTGCGGAAGTAGTAGTAACTATAACTGTAAAAATAAAATGGATTTGCTTGTAAACGATAGCAACGTAAGTTAAAATTTATAAATTGGAATCTTACATGACCATACATTTTCGCTTCATTGGAGCATGAATACTTGCAATTTAGTCAAACATGTATAATTATGTTCAACCCAAATGATTTTTAATACAAATAATATTTTTAGCGAATATCATGAATGAAATTACAGAGATTAATTGTTTTACTGTCAGTTACACCAAATCTTGTTAGCTAAAATATTTGCATTAGTAAAATAAAGTTACACATTCCTCATAAAATAACAGATTTTAATTTCTGATTCTGTCTGTTTTTTGTGTTGTTTGTAATTAAGCACAAAGCTACACAATGGGTTATCTGTGCTTGCCCAACACGGGTATCGAAACCCGGTTTTTACTGTTATAAGTCCACAGACATACCACTGAGCCACTGGGAGGCGATTCCGTCGATAATACCTCCCGATGAATCTGGGAGCTTATAACGCTAAAAATCAGGTTTCGACATTTACGGTGGGCACACATAAAGAGTCCACTGTGTAGCTCTTCGTTTAACAAAAAACTGTCGATAGTATATGAAATACGCTTTGGTACTGGAGTGTTGGTAAATTCTAAAACGCCGTCAGTGGCAATAGTCTAAGTTACGAACTTTGTTCAACGAGAGGATTGAAAACATTAAGTGTTTTCTTTAAAACTAAGCTATGTTACTCGTAAGACATTTTTTAACTATTTGAAGAATACAGCACCACGCTCTACCTTCACAAACGAGGCTCGTCTTCAAATCTGATAAAGTCATTGTATTTTGTTATTATTTTATCTGGATGCCTATGATTTTTTATAAGTATTAATTTTTGTCAAATGAGTTAGCTGAGAACTTGACCACAATAATATCTGGAAATTAAATGATTTTCATTTATTTACTTACAGGACCGAATTAAAGGTAAGGCAGCTGCCCTGTGCCCGGAAGTTAAAAAATAAGATTAGATGAAAATAAAAATATATAAATAGATATACTAAAAATATTAAAGGATCAATTTTCTAAAAAATAAATAGGTTAAATTTTTTAAATCTATGAATGCCATTGTTTTTAGTCTAATATTTTATTAATAATATTGTATGTTCGTTCTTAGTTTTACTCCCCCCCCCCTCTTAGATCTCTGACAAAAAAAAAGAACCTATGAAAGTTGGGCAAAGTAAATCGTATTGGTAGTAGCATACCATACGAGAAGTATAAAAGTACCAAAAGAAACCCCAAAATAAAACCTTGCCCTGGGCCCTTTTTTTCCTAACTTCGGCCCTGTTTGCTTAAATAATGTTTGCAGAGTTCTGCATATTTAATTTCTGTATTCTAGAAATAAGCGATCTGTGTTTTTAACTAAAAATAATACGTTTGCAAACCAAAAAGTATTCTTCTCAAGGCATTATTAAATAAATTTTAATTATGTTGATACTTCTTGCAGCTAATATAAAATTTTATGTACTGTTAAAAAGTAATATATAACACTGAACACAAAGATAAAAGAAAAATGTATTACCGCAACTTTTAAAATATCAATTTCAACGCTGGCAGTCCTTACA